AGGCGCTGGAGATGGATCAGATGTTGTTGAATGACGTACCAAAGGCGCCCATGAGGGTGCACTCTTCTTGGGCAGTTCCGGTGTTGCTGAAATCATACAGAACTTTACAATGACGGAAAGAAAGTACTACCCTATGTGTCAGGGTATGACACAGTGACAAAGTCGCAGAGACAAACGCGAAATGCGCGCGAAAAGTTGTGAGAAGCCGCGTTCGCACTCCACGAATGGAGCGGTTCGGTCGTGCTTCTGCGACGGTCCAAACTCTACAGCTAATCGTTGGACCGCTGCAAAGTCAGAAAAGATTATGCTGACTGTGATAAAGTTAACAGGTGTCGGGAGTCCAATGATTAGCAGTGGGTCGCGGCGACGCAGTCGCGCGACCGAATATCGAGTCGCGAAGTATAAAAGCAGCCTTATCACCAGCTTTTTTGCCTGTGTGCCTATTTTAACATTCTGATTGGTATGGAATACTTCATATTCAGTATAGATCATTCATATAGATAAAAAGAACAAAAACACGCAAAAGTAAAATGAGAAAGAATCATTCGCGGGGTTTAGGGCAAAGATGCGTCCTAGGCACGGGTGCGCCTCAAAACCCAAAAAATAGGGTGTTTTGCAGAGGAAAGCCTCGATGACAGCTTCCGAAGGAAGAAAAAAGAGACTGTGAAAACAGGCGACTGAAGAATAAGATACGCTCGAAGAAGACTGAGGAAAGCAAAAAGATGAAAGAAAATAGAAAATCGAGAAAAAGACATTCTTAAGCATGGGGTCCATGATTTTCAATAGCATTGTTTCAAATGAGGAGCAACCAGAACTTGCCTGTTTTGGACAACGGCGTGACGTTGAGATGCTCCATTGGACTGTCGGTGAGTGTGATCACATCATCTGCAACAACACTGAGCACATCTTTGGTTTTCCTGACCTCGCACCCCCTCCCCCTCCTCCCTTGCCAACCCTTTTATTAGCTCACCATGACTGTTGGTGCAACAGCTCTTGCCTTACGCATGGCGAAAACACAAAGAGACGTGGATAATAGGGAGCACACAGTCAAACTTAAAGGTACATTCCGCGAGCTACAACCTCCGAGCGCTAGGACTCAAGTGTGAGTGTGAAGACGCCAAGCAACTCATTAGAGGGAGAAAAACCATAAAACAAACGTCGGGAACCTAAATAGGACTCCTTCAAGTTTGAGCGCACGCTGGTCTCACAAGAATGAGACCTGTTATTAACATCAACTAACGAGAGGGACTAGCAGAAATGCAAAGTGCCCCTCCCAAGCCGAACAGCGCCTATAAGTAGGAAATAGCCTCGCAATATACCTTGGCTTCTACGAGGAGTGGTACTGCACTGTGGTTGCTGCTGTTGCTGTGCATTCCAGAACTGATAGAGAGATGCCACTTTCGACTTCGGTGTCTTTTTCATTCTTGCTGAACTGAAAAAGGGCTAATTGAAGTGCTATATACTAACTTACAGGATTCCAAATACCAAGAAGAACAAACTTCACAAGAGAAGTTAATTTGTGAGGGCACAGATTGTCTTATCAGACACAAACAATGTCATAAGATAAGTTGCGAGTGGGGCATAAAAGCGAATTCCATCGAAGTTAACGAAAAATATTCACCTTACGTCTAGGAAATTTAACTATAAAAAGAATAACGAATATACAGGTTACAGGTTATTGAGATTACGTTCTAGACCATAAGCAATCGCAGAAAGCCTCTTTCAGAATGGAAGAAATACAGAAAAACTAATACCCACATTGGATTTCCACACTAGAAAAAAACTGCAAAAAACCACGGCTGAGAGTTCAAATTTTGATCGTTCCCGCCGGAGTGGGATTGCAACCGCAAGAACAGAAAGTTGCTGGGGATACCGTACCCACATTAGCAAATGTTTTTCTGCGAGCACTCGCTGTCCTCCTTACCATTGTTCAATCTGTAGTAGTGAAGAATGACCCTGTTCACTGCCACATACGGGTCCACTCAGCGAGCTACCCGCCATTCAGCCACAGCGCTCTTGGAATGGGCTGAAGAGATCGCTTCTGTAGATGGACTTCTTCCTGGCTTCACCAAACTCTGGGCATGCATCCATTGAAGCCTCATGGGAGGTGTTGGTATGGGCGGCGGTTGACATCCGCAGGCCGGTGTCAGGAGGCGTTCAGTGGACGGCAGCTGCACCGGCGTTTCTAGGAAGCGACGACCAGAAAAGAGAATCCTAAACCGGCCCTCCCGCTTGGTGCGCGCGTTTTCTAACACCGTACTTCGTGTAGACCCCGTTATCGTAAGCATTCATGACTATTTTCTGTTGTGAATTGCTTATTTTCGCCATCTAATACCTGGATCGTCATTTGCGGGCGCGACGTCGCACGCGACACTCACCAGCGCAGTGAATTACGATTCTCTTGTCACATACCCGGGTTTCCACCACTGTTGGCACTCAGCTAGTGAACAAGCAATGGTAGAATGTGGCGCAGATGGTTCATCCGACGCCTGACATCATCCACCCCCCCCCCTGGCGGGATTACGAAATTATATATTACAGATATTATTTGTACCTGAAGACTTACCTTCAGGGGTTGCGGTCCGGCCCAGATGTTTAGCTTCATAACCTTCGCCAGCTTTTGATGCACATGCTTGTAGATTTGAGTCATGAGTCACGGAGATATGATATACTGACAGTTCCTCGAAACACACTTTGACAGTAAAAACCGATTTCAATATGCTAACTCGAAGCATTCCAGCAAAACCGTTACAAAATGTGGAATTCGGCTGGTTCAAATTTTTTTTGGTCCTTTGATTTGCATAAAATCAAAACCCTGTATGATGATGTATGATAGTTAATATTTTGCGAATTACATATGAAGCCACATGCTGAACCGAGCTTGTTCCTACATAGAGTAAAGAGGAGCGTGTGGTTGGGCAAGTTCTCGCTTGTTGGTATCATACGGATATCAGCCCTTATCCACTATCACTTAGTTCTACCCTCGAATTGGAGAGGCTAGTAGAAGAACAATCACACCACCAGGAAGCCTTTAGGAAAAAAAATTGGGCGTTGCGGTGGGCAGTGGGCGCGGCGTGGTCCTATTCGCGAGCTAGTCGCGCTTTCTATTTCTCCTACTTTTATGTTGCGAAAGTAGTACGTTTTCTGTGCTTGCGAAAAGGACTGCCCATCCAACGAAGGCGTCTGAACATCGAATAAATGCGCAAGAAGCCTTTGAAAAAGATAAACGCTTCACTGGAGAAAATGGTTCTCCTCGGATTTTCGGGTTTGCCTGATAGACTGTCCATATCATTTTCGCCTCGCAAAGGGGTAATATGCTCAACTGGCCAACGTCGACGGAGCCTCTGAATGCACCCTGCCCGATGGGTAAAGGGTAGATGTGGGTTCAAGTTTTCAAAGAGCTGTCCATACTTAGGTCTTGTGACAAAATAATTAACGAAATACAGTTTTTATTTAATTTTATTACAATATTATCACAATAAAATACTGTCAACAAACGAATATCAGCTGATATTCTTGGAATCAATTCAAACCACACTATTTGCACACTCAATAACTGCGTATACTTTGTCTTCAGCGAAAGGGAAGATCTTCTTGGTGAATTGGCATTGAGTAAAGGGGGCGATTTTTGCGTGACCGCCGCCGAGAGCGGTGAAAACGCTGAAAAGGATCATTTCAGGTTTCGTCAGGAAACTCGTGGAGGGAAACAGACCTCGCAGCATCGGTGTTGATCGCTGGATAGAGTGATCCTAATATTTTGTGCTTCTTAATGTCAGGGATTGACGACAGTATTCCACACAGAAGTGTTTCTGCCACAGCCTTAATGGTGGCATCATTTGAACTCGTTATAGGCTTTTTGGTTACCCAAATTGAAAAAATAATAAAAAATTAAATGAAAAAGTTAATTGATAATTGGAG